ACACACACACACACACACACACACACACACACAGATATTTAAGTATTTTGACAGTATAGCGAGTGCTTCAAGGGAGTGGGTGGAGCTAAAGCGCACTGAGCTCAATTTTCTCACTGCTACTCTCTGATTGGTGGAATTTTCTGCACAGCATCATGGGAAATGTAGTTTTTCACCAAATAATGCGAACTGATGGCTTAAACAGAAACATATACCCTCAATTAACAATCCTGGAGCTCTCTAATGGTTTATAAGATATTAAAAATCAGGTGAGTTTTTACTTCCGGACTCTAGAATGAAGAAAGCGACTCACACTCCGGACAGGACCTCGATGGAGCGCGTCTGCGGGCCGTAGCGTGTGTTTGCGGTGTTTTCCAGCGGCTCCAGGAGGTCGATGCTGACGCCACGCTCGGAGAAGTCCGGCTCACTAAACATCTTCATATGAGGGGAGGAGAAATCCTGAAAAACAAAACCTTTTACAGCCCTCAGTTGTCTTAAATTAGAAAGCAGTTGGCAAGCGTTTGATTCTGGTTCTGCTATTGTGGTTTTTCTGAATCGATCCTAAATCAGTAAGAGAGCTGGTTTCGGGTTCTCCTGTGTTTCTTAGACATGTTTACACAGTTCAAAAACAACTGAACAGAGCACAGCGCTCAGTGTTTTTATGGCTGGAGCTTTAAACGAGACAAATTAAGGCAGAATTTCCAGTTTACATTTACATTCATGCATTTAGCAGACGCTTATAAAGTGACTTTCCAAAGAGGAACAATTGTGAGCTGATGAATAGCTAATAATAATGAATTAAATCATAAAAATGTAAAATTAAATATCTGCTTTTATTTGAAATAAAAGCAATAAAAATAAAACACTTACCAAAAAATAAATATTTTATTTGTATACTTGCATATCATGTGACTTATAACAGTCATCGACGAACTGTGCTGTTAAATTATTGAAATATTATTTTATTTTATATATATAATTTTTTGATGTTGTTTGCCTGGTTGTTTGTTTTTTGTTAGGGTAAAATAAACTGAAAAGCAATGGTGATTACAATGTTAAAAAAATGTAAAATGTTTCATTTACCAGTAAAATACTGCAAAAGAATTTAGCTTTTACAAAATATGGGGGAAAACTATTGAAATATTAACCTAAAATAAGGAGATTGAGGAGTACACTTGACAAATCTGGTGTAGGATTGCAATCAATAATTGCAAATAAATTTTTTCACAAATTATTAAAAAAAACAAACAAACAAAACAACAAAAAAAACAGCAAGTGACATTGAATTTAAACATGAAATTTAGAAGTAGAAAGACTGAAATAGTATTTTCTTTTAAAACGCAGTCCAGTATGATTAAATTAATTTAAAGGGGTCCTATTATACACCCCTTTAAATAAAGAGTGCAAATAAAGATGCTTTTTTCCCACACGAACACTCCGACAGCTAATGCACGATCTCACTAACCAACCAGTCGGCCGCTGGACAGCGAGTGAAGCGCGTTGACCGATCGCTAGTGAAGCTGAGACTCACCATGAAAACGGGCCGCAGAGAGAGGAGCGTTTCCCTCGTCCCGCCCCAATCTGTCCAGTCCAGATACTCTCCTTCCTCCAGAACGAACTGCTGCCCCTCGAACCCCTGGCCATCGTATCCCACCCACCTGAAACCAGACGAGGGAAGCATTCAACAGCAGTAACACTGAGGAAGAACATCAGAGGTCAGCACTCACAGGCCTCCGAGGATCTTCAGTGATTCCACTCGGTCCAGTCCGTGGTTTTCTGTCACGTCTCCCTGAACCTCCACACATCGGCCCTCCAGACCGGCCTTTTCATACACCACGGCCTGAGCGAGACAGACAGATCAAGAGTCTCCATCACTGTAAAAAACATGCTTGAGAAGACACTGAAACTCACAAACCTCGACTGCATTCGGCTTCTCCACTCTCAGAGCGCCCTGCAAAACAAGCACAGTTCTGATGACACACTATACTGTAGACGGGTGAATATCGTTATCGTGTGAGCCGTACCATACGCAGAGGCCTCAGAGAGCCGACCGCGGGCGACGGGAAACCCCAGTCCTCCGAGAACAGATACTCTCCGGCTTCCAGAACCGCCAGCAGACCCTGGAAACCCGGATCACTGTAAACCAGCCAGCTGCGGAGCAGAGACGACAGCTGTCAATCATCCGTCACCTGAACTAATTGCTCACTTATTAGTCAAGCCAGGTGACTTGGCGGGTACTAGTTAACATCTCACTGACTAAAGTCACATGCAACTAATAATGATCGGGGAAGCAATGTAATGCACTTACATAAAGTTTTTGAAAACTTTTTCAAAAAATATATAAAATGTATTTTTTTATGGCCATTTTCATTTTCTGTGACATGTTAAAAATGTTAATGCAAGTTTTTTTTCCTGAGGTTTTTATGCATAAAATTTATGACAACAAAAAAAGTTTGCAATTTAGTTTTCATGACCTTTTTACACACTCTCTGACGTGTTAAAATATTAACGTTTGCTTGTTTTCCTGAGGTTTCTCTAATCATAAAAGTTTTTAAAAAGTAAAATTTATGACAATTTTCCACTCTCTCTAAAATGTTCAAAATGTTGTTTTCTTGAGGTTTTTCCATTTACTTAAAGCTTATGAAAACTTTAAAAAAAAAAAAATTTAGTTTTTATAACCATTTCCCACTCTCTCTGACATGTTAAAAACATTATTGTTTGTTTGTTTTCCTGAGTTTTTTCCATTTACATAATCATAAAGTTCATGAAAACCATTTTCCTACAGTTCATCCGGACGTTTCTTTAAGACGCCTCATTGCATGCGAAATGAGTTCGTGTGCCACATGTTTTCTGTCATGTTCAGTAGTTTTTATCTGCTTCATCCTCACATCGTCACAGAATACACAAATACAACTGACTTTTGTTACATTAAATGGCATTTTGATTTAAAATAAACAGTTATGAATATGCTGTACTGTAAACACTATTGGTTATTGTTGTTGTTGTGTTCTGCTGGTTCACCTGGACAAACACTGCTGCTGTAAATCATTCAACAATCTGTGATTTTCTCTTTCTATTCCTGCTCACATTCCTGCCGTAGCTTTCATCTGTCATTCTGCGCTCTTCCTGATTTTTTTTGTCTTTCCTCTGTGTTTTTGTAATTCTCACTGTCCTGCTATGCCAGCTCTGTTTATCACGCACACACATGAGACTTTTCTCATACAGTGGGCCTATAAAGTATTTGGACACTTTTCAAAAAAAAAAAACATAAAAAAATTGAAACAATGGATCTAGTGTTTAAAGTGCCCCTATTATGGATTTTTGAAAATGACCTTTCATGCAGTGTTTAACACAGCTCTAAGTGAATGAAAACATCCTGCAAAGTTTTAAATCTGAGAGTGCACCGTGTATAAAGTTATTGTCTCTCAAAAGAAAGAGTCGATTGGTCTGAATGAAAATGCAAATTCATTCTTTGCCACTAGGTGTCGCTTTTGGAGCGGTAAAAATAGCGGTTTCCCCGGTAACACACAAAGCAGCACTGCGCTCACAAACGCTGCTTTATCAGGCATTACAGGCAAGATGAAATGGAAATTAGACCAATCGGACTAATCAGCGCAGATTAGCGTCACGCAAAGGAGGGGTTTGGAAAATGAATCGTTGAGCGAATCGTTTGGGAGTCGTTGAGCAAGTAAGGTAAAAATAAATGCATATTATAAGACAATGAAAGTGTTTTTTGACCTTGCATGCATGTCAACCTGTTGTTGGGGACTCCCAAAACCAAAATATGAACTTTCATTACCCATAATAGAGGCACTTTAAAATGAAAACAGGTGTTGTGTCACTCTGTGTGACTGAAGTGTCTGTATCTGCTACTTGAATCATTATTAGCAGGTTATTTTCCCCCTTTCGCTCTGTTATAAACATTACTGAAAGCATCAGAATGAGTTTTCGTCCTATAGTCTGAGTGCTGGATTATGTGGCTCTGATACTGTTTATATGGTTCAGCGTGACTAATGCTGGGACTCAAACGCATAACACACTCATGAATCATCAGGAATCCAGTCATTATGCTCTCAAAGTGCCTTCACAACACTGGCCATGTATATACTGCATCTAAATTTGGTAGTCAGTTCACCTTTTAGTACTTCTGTTCTGTATGTACACAGTTCAGTAATTTAAGAGAGTGACGACCGCATTCTACAACCGAATTGACTCCTGAAAAAATCAGGTAGTGGCAACCGCATTTACAGAAATTCTACACAGTGTGTACAGAACTGAAAAACCAGTTAATGACATATGTCATGCAAGAAATCACAGGGAAGGAAGTATGTCTTGACTCAGGGTTGCCAGATACTGCTATAAAAAAATTGCAAATAAGAACAATGGATTGCTTTATGAGCAAAGCCCAAAGACGCTTAATAAGCATTACTTATAATAAGTGGACATGGCAACCCTTCAAGAGAGCCCTCTGCGAAGCAGCTTTCCAAGCATGAACAAAATATGACGTCTCTTTCGACGGTGGTTTCATTAAAATCGCCAAACATGAGTGTTTGGTTGCCATGATATTACTTTAGTCAAAAATGACAAACACCAAACGTGCAAGTGTTCCGTGACGGTCTGTGCACTGTCCGCGTGATGCAGTTTTCGTCATCAGAAGTGTCCACGTGCAGCCCAATTTTTGAGTCCGCGCACAACAGCACAAGCGCGAGGTGAATGTTGAGACAGAAAGCGTCCACTAGGTGGCACTGCGCAAATGTCGTACTCGTCCGTCCGCGCTCATCTGCGGTTGAGTATACTTTGAAAGCTGCGTGCGAGACGGAGCGGAACACGGAAAATGTAGTATAATCAGGCCTTAAGGCAATGTTGTACGCAAAACTGTGTGTGGGGGGGGGTATGAGTGGTTATGAACGAATGAATGAAACGCATTTGTCCGTGTTTCACACCGTCTCGAATCGCGCTCGCGGAAAGCGCTTGAGAAACAGTGTCTCTTCCGCGGCTCGGTACGCTTTCAACTCGTTTTATTAGTCTCAAGCAAGACACACGTTACACACATTACGATTTGACTGATTTTTACGTAGAAAGGGCGACAGCGCACTGCATTAAAGGAAATTATCATTCATGTTTTCATAACCGCTGGCCAAATTCAAAAATGAAACTAAGATTAAATCATCTTTGAGAGCAAGGGGGCCCCCTGGTGTTTCGGGGGCCGCACGTTGCG